AGGTTCTTGTACGTGCTGTAAAGCTACGACACTGGACCCACGGCTTAAAGTCCCTCCCAGAGGACTTGTTCCCTGAATTTTACCGCCCTTAAAAATTCGATGACCTCCGCCGGGTATTTGAACCCGTGTACTACGAGTCATGAGGTGGGAACGTTACCTCTAGACTATGGAGGCCACTTAAGGCCAGTACCTAACACAAACATCCATGCCTTGAGTTGGATTCCAACCCATGATCCCAGTGTTCGAGCGAGCGAAGACATTTCATGCCCCAGACCCCGCGGCCACTGTGATTGGCTAACTGTGGTATAGTAGAAAATAAAAAGTGCAGTGCCACAAATATCCGAGCTTGATCTTTCATACATTGTAACTAAATTCTCTGATCTCTCAAGTTAAATGGGTTGATGTAGAAGTAAAGTTTCTGACTCATGTTTGCAAGCTGTTCATCTCTATCCGGACTGAGATTTTCTGTGGTTCTCTTCTATCCCTCCAGGCAAATGCTGGGATAGTACGACAGTTAGGCCACAATTTCTTCCAATTTATTTTCAGTTAATCTTTCATCCTACCGTTCACTGCTGTAGTGTGTAGATCCGTTACTGGGTAACAGCCTAGAAACAAACAATGAAACAACAACTGCTGCTGGTCAACAGATTCTTAATAAGCAACTAAACACAGCCATTACTGAGTAATGCCTTTGCAAACAAACATGTTCCCATTGAAACGATTGGAGTACAACAATGAATGGTGTTTTCTATGGGGTCAGTGCTGAGGTGTTGTAAGGAGGACAGATGGAGCAAGAGTGGAGAGAGAGAGAATTGTAATGGAGTCTGTGAAGAGAAGACATAGTCGGTGCAGTTGAGAGCCAGCAGGCAACAAAGTGAGCACGGAAGCTGAAGAATCTCCAGTGTTAGAAGCCGTTACCAGGAAATGACTGGTGAAGACACAGCAGACTGAAAATACTTAGCATGTGCTGCAGTGATTTGTATGGTGTGGAGATCAGTGATGGCAGTATAATTAAGTGTAGTCATGAGTCATGTATCAAAGTGGTCAGTAAATCCAATCTCCAATCCAAACCCCATCTGTAGTCACTCATACAGTCTGTGTATTGACAGCTTCATAAAATGACCTACAGGAAGTCTTTAAAGCTCAGCTGTGAATCAGAACACAGGAACACTTAAAACTTTACTCTTAAGTAGGTTAATTTCTTATACCATTAACTTTATGTCTTAATCATTCCAAAGTCTGGGTGAAGACTATGCTCAGATGATTATAATTTGTGTGTCGAGTTATGCTTGAGAAGCAAATTATGTTTCTTCCATCATACAGAGCCATGTTCAAGTAGGATGGGGCACCCTGAGACCAATGATATGGAACATTTAAAAAAGTGAAGAAACCCCTGATTGTTATTAGCTCATTCTAACAGATCGAACTGAGCAGTAACCTTCCATCACTTATGCCTCATGATGGAAACAGATGCAGTTTCTAAAATATTTTGTATGTTAAGTATATGTCATATAATGGTAATATTTGTATGAAGAAATGCTGTACTGTAATACATTTGTTGAGTTTGTACATCAATGTTTGGATTTGCACTGTGTGTACTTTGTTTTCTGTATTGTATTTTGTTTTGTATTCCATTATGTTATAGACCTTACTTGTCTGTATCAGTGCAAGCTCTACTGCCACAGGGTGAACACCCAATTGCAGTAAATAATAATAATAAAAAAACCATGTTGAGAACCTTATGAATTGTCCAGTCCTGATTAGAGAGTCTTTCTGTTTTACCTTTCATATATTGTTAAACAGTTTTTAACGCATGTTTATCCCATATTTCAGAAGAAGAATTCAGAACATTTATTGGGTGTTACTATGCAGGACAACGGATCATGCGAGGAGGAGTGTCTTCTTAGGTCTGTATCACAGCACTGGTTCATTTTTTTAGCCTACTTTCCTTATTTTAAAAAATAAAAGAAAGCTTATGAGATCAACTTGCTGTCTGTGGTCTCCCCTAATGCCTGAAAGCCAGAAGAGACAGCTTTTAATAGGCATTGGCTCGGTAAACGTGTTCCTGTGTCAACAAATACACATGCAACAATAAAAGAACTGTTGGACACAGTGTTTTCTGTGCAGTCCGTGTCCTGTCAAATACAATAAACCCTCATTATAGTGGACCCAGGTGTAGTGGATTTTTGATATAATGGGAAAAATGTGGAAGTGTACAATTGTGAATATTTACAGATGTTGAGGAACTGGGAAGGTTTCATAGCTAGAGAAATATTTAAAATAGGAAAGAACCTCCATTATAAACATTAAATTGTGTGTTCCTGTGTTTATTGTATGTGTTGGATATGTATCCTGTGGTGTGCTTCCATTAATGCCTCTCGTACCTCTTCACAGGCTTATTTTGGATGTCACTGATAATGGACTCCCTGTCCCTTTTATTATTCTGTTATAATGAGGGTTTACTGTTCCCACTGTGTAGTAGTACTTGAATGAATATATAAGGGGTTGGCCTTCTCGGCCCTTGCACTGCGACCTACATTGTAGTAGTACTTAAAGAATGAGTTCTCATGCAGTGAATATTAAACTTATGAGCATCTGGTATGTGATGCGTGGTACTTCTGTAGGTGAGTACCAGTGTTCAGGTGGAATGTGTGACCACCATTTTTAGGGTGCCCTGACATCCCAAGGGACCATGTTCATATCACACTCTTTTAATTTTTAACAAATTAATATGATAATATTTTTTCCAGCACCATCTTATCAGACTCTGCCAAGATAGAAATGAATCTGGCCAATGAAGCGCTAGACCATGAAGTTCAAGTGGAACAGTTAGTTGTAACCCCGTTACAACAGATGCTGGACAATGATGTACCCAAGCACAAAGCTAAACTTAGTAAACTGACATTAGATATGGATTCCGCAAGAACCAGGTATTTATTGTGTGATTTGAGGTTCTCACAGCAGCATTTCTGAAGGGTCTGTTGCAAAATGATGCCATATAGTCTGGCAGGTGTATACCAACATTTCAGGGGAACCTGCTGAAACATGAGAAGGTTACAGAGTATGCAGCTTGTCCCAGAAGACAGGAGTCCTAAAGCATTTGTAATTAATACCTGAATAATGTAACAGAGCTCTGTTTTGTTATAGTTAAAAAAATTAATTTTTTTAAATTCGTTTGGTGGGGGGTGGAGTCCAACTGGGTTCACTCGGCACGGCGGCCACTGATTGTCCTATTGTAGCCTGCCCCAGGTGATTATGATGATGGAGAATTTGGTGGAATGAAGATTGGCAGGGGAAACCGAAGTACTCGGAGAAAACCTGCCCCAACGCCACTTTGTCCACCACAGATCCCACTTGACCAGACCCGGGTTCAAACCTGGACCGCCAGGGTGGGAAGCCAGTGACTAACAGCTTGAGCTATGGCGCAGCCTTTGTTAGAGTTTCTTGATTTTCTCTATGTACCTGCTGGGATTATGTTTCAATGTTGGTCTGTGTTACCTGCATACTGTGGTTCTAAGTGGTATGTTATTTCATAATTTCTCACTCCTTTCAACATCAGGTATGTGCGTATATTTTTTCAGCCATGAAATTGGTTACAAGTTAGGCATATTCTAAGAGTCTTAATCATACCGAACTGTGTGTTTAAATGAACAGATTGGTGTAGCGATAGCATTTAACTTGTGAGCCAGAGGTATCCAGTTTGTAATCTTCATTTCATGCATCCTGTTTTGTTACAATATATAACTTTATTTTTCCGTCACAACACAACACAACACCTAAGGAGTATCAAGGTCAATACCCAGCTATGCCCCACTACATGTTTCGGCCGTTAACGGCCATCATCAGGTGAATATATATATATATATATATGACCGTTGTATTTTTACACAAAAGAATTAACTATTTTGTCATTGTATCTAATTTTACCACAGTTCAGTAGTATACGTTTGTTGATTTGTATTCACCTGATGATGGCCGTTAACGGCCGAAACGTGTAGTGAGGCATAGTTGGGTATTGACCTTGATACTCCTTAGTTGTTGTGTTGTGACAGAAAAATAAAGTTATGTATCCAGTTTGAATCTTCAATTAATTACCATGATTCCTGATAGGTTCTATGTTATTGTTTCTGCTTCCAGGCATATATCTTGATAGTCTGTGACTCCCTCATTTGAAATATTTACCTCCTCACTGTCCATTGCCCTCTTTCCATCAGATTTGGTGCCCAGTAGCCTTTAAAGGTGAATGTAATAATGTAATAAAAACCAACCTTATGATTATTAAATGGTACTGTTTTTTTTTTTTGCGGCTCATATGATTATTTGGAAAGCGCTTAGTTTGAATCTAAGCAGGACACAAACCATTCTGACTCAGGTTTGTCTTGGTGTTTGTCAGTCCCTCCAGGCAAACGTCGGGACAATGCTTTGATTAGGCCACAACTGCGTCTCTCCAGATCCTTTCCATTTCATTATTTACCAATAATCCTATCATTCAGAACTTGGTCTGAGACTCTGACAGTGTAGTAAAATAAGCCCCAAACCAAATTTTATATTAATTTCTGCATCTTTTTTTTTGTTGGTATTACGCATTTTTTTTTTGTAAGGTACCACACGGCTCTTAAACATGGCAGTGCTAATACAAATGCCGTCAAAGAAGAACTGGAAGATGCCGAGCTGAAGGTGGAACAGTGTAGGGTAAGGAAATCTTCATTACACATGAGATCCTCTTATCATTTCTTTTCCCATCAAAGAAGTAATTGGAAATTTAATTAAATTTCATGGCTATCTGTTGTCCCATAGGAGTGCTCTAGGTAAAAGATAAAAGATAAAGTCATCCCTGTAACAGGCCGTAAAGGCCCATAGGAGTGCTCTGTATAATTAAAATGTTATTAAAATAAATCTGTTGTGAATAAAGGTTGTGGGTGCTTCCCACTTGATCGACTGTAGGTTTTTCCCCTGGTCACATGTTGTAGACTTTACCTAGCAATGACTATTTACTTGCTGTTGCTAAGCAGTGGTACCTGAGTTGTCACTGTAACATTTGCTTGAATGTGGGCAGTTCCCACAAGGTAAACGTGGCTGTGGTTAGGATGATATATTTGACAAAATTATATCTAAAAGAGGTAACTGTGATTAATGTAAGTCGGTATTTAAATCAAAATTGTTGAAGGAACATGTAAAACTGTATACTGTGAAGTAACGGTTATCTCAGCGGCCTCCGTAGTCTAGAGGTAACGTTCCCACCTCATGACTCGTGGTAAGCGGGTTCAAACCCGGCGGAGGTCGTCGAATTTTTAAGGGAGGAAAAATTCAGGGAACAAGTCCTCCGGGATGGACTTTAAGCCGTGGGTCCTGTGTCGTAGCTTTACGGCATGTAAAAGAACCTCATATCTCCTAAGGAGATCACTGAGCCAAATTCAAGGACGTTTCCCACCCAACAGTAGTCTCTAACACCTCTGATAGATGGGGGAGGCATTATAGATACAACCAAGCTAGTGGAGGCCGAACTCGCTCGCTCGGTCGGGACTGATGGTATGCACCAATATCGGTAGGATATAGAGACTGGTAGAATATCATTGAAGGAAGCACAATGGACCAATACTGGTCTAAGTGCATGGGGAAACCCACCCTCTCCAATAACTAACTAACTAACGGGTATCTTTGAGTGTATGATTGGATAGATGCAGTGGTTTAAAATTGTGTCAGTGATTTGCGATGTATTGTACTAAACATTTTGTGTTTAGCATTTATATCAATTAACTTGGTACTGTCATCAGAATTTTTGTGCTGTCATTTTGGTTGTTTCATAAATGAGCATGAATGATTCATGGCTTATCTTAAAATAGAATTGTTGATGCAGGATATGCTGGCATCGGAGATGTTCCAGTTGATATCCAGAGAGGCTGATCTTGCCCAGACTATAGTGCAGTATGTCAAACTTCAGAGAGCTTACCATCAGAGTGCCCTGAAGATACTGGAAGAAAAAATACCAGAACTTGAAAAGAACATCAGTAAGTCAGTCACCTTCTGGTCATGGTCAGCATGTGTGCTGAATATATGTCTTCTCTAGGTTGAGGCATGTTGCCAGATAGGCTGTGGTGCTCTGAGTTCATTTCCTGGGTATTTCTTTAATCAGTTTTCACTGTCTATCACCGCTTCAAAAAGGGGCAGGTCATTTTAATGTTACTATGCATAATACATTAGGGGAAGTAGAGGGTTAATTTCCGTAAGACAGCCATATGTATCATCATGCATGGTTATTACACCAAATAAATGAAGGAATATACAAATTACAGCACTGCCAGCTATGAAGAGAAAGGTGTTTTATTTGCATTTTATACAGCAAATGTTCACTCCATGATATGTATGTATTGACCATCTTCTAGTGTACACAGTCTTACATGTCACTTCACTACATGTTTTGGCATCACTACGTGCGTTGTAATTACAATGCACACAGCCAAAAAAGGACACATCACAAGGCACAGTATACACAAAATATAGGAAGAACGACTCCCATAGCGGAAGAATGATATAATACGTGAGTTTGAAATATGACGTATAAGATGATAAATCGTAACAAATTTTATTATAGTTCATGAAGAATATACATTTTAAATCATTATATAAACGACACAAGATGGTGAGCAGTGCAGTAGTTTAACGTAAATAACACACCTGAGGATGGCACAGTGATGCCGAAACATGTAATGAAGTGACAAGTGAGATTGTGTGCACTAGAAGACGGTCAAAACATACACATCATGGACAAGAATCAGTGCAACAGGACGCTAACATACAACATTATTAAATGTTCACTATCCCCCAGCTTCTTCAGTAGGTACATCTACCTGACTGCTACATTTCCTAATTGCCATTCAATGGCAACAAACATTCCCATAGCAACCCAATTTGTTATGAGCTGATGGTACCATTACTCACGAAGTTCCTCCATTTAACAATTTTGTGTGATAGACAGAACTGTGTCTCACGAACGAAAGGCTCAGGGATATATCTTTATGTGAACCATGTTACTTTTTGTGAAGGAATATCAGTTGTTAATTTTTTCACTGGCTGTACAGCCCTGTTGGGCTCTGTCCTCGATTTTCAGTTTCATGATCATTTCACAGATGGTAGGGCTCCTTGGATGAGTGATCAGTTGGTCTCAAGATCTCTACCTAAACACAGGATAAACACATACACACACCAAACATCCATTCCTTGTGTGGGATTTGAACCCACGATCCCGACTTCCGAGCGAGCGAAGACAGTACATACCTTAGACCCCTCGGCTACCTTGACCGCCAGTGTATAAGGATAATATATAAGAATTCAGTTTGTACCTCACAGGAAACAGATCCGAACCCGCGGTCCCGGCTTCCGAGCGAGCGAAGACAGTTCATGCCTTAGACCGCGTGGCTACCGTGACCTATTACACCTACACATTACCTATTTTATTTATGTTTTCAGCAGTTTCTTCTCTTCATATTACCACACAATTACAAGACCTGTATGGAAGCATCAGCTTTAGTCACGTGCCTTGTTCCCTTTCTGATCTCTTTGCCTTGTCCTGCACCTGTTAGTCTAGTAGCGAAATATTGTGTTAGTCTAGGAAGGAAAAAAGTGACGTATAAGTTTATTGTGTATGTTGGTTGGTTTAAAAGTATGCTGTACACCAAGATGATGATGTAATGTGTTCGGTTTTACAGGAGACAGCCCTTTAAAACCAGTTTATGGATACCCATTGGAGGAACATCTTCGTGTCACTCAGAGAAAAGTTGCATTTCCCATTGAGCTTTGTGTATGTGCCTTGCTAGAGCTTGGGATGGAGGAAGAAGGGCTGTTCAGGGTTGCTGGAGGTATGGACATACTCTCAACAGTTTCGTGGTTCTGAAGACATGCATTCTGTTACTGTGTTTTCATACTTGCACATATGTTCATGTGTGTGCAGATTTATCTTTCCCTGAGAACCATTTGTTTGATTTGCATGAAATATATGAAGAACATAGTATAGTATGCCATGGATGGTACCCCACGTTCATAATTTGTAATTTCCATGGTTGTTAATACAAACATGACACCTTCGCAAACTTTTGATATGGATCCAACATTCATAGAATTTAATGTAAAACCATGAATTTTCCTTTACCTGTAGGATACAGGGTAACATATCAGCCATGCAGAGTTAAAGTAAATAGGTTTCTGTGTAATGGCAATAGGTAGTGAACTTTGCAGTGAAACATCTTTGCTTCTGTCTGCCTGAAGATGGCGGCAGTATGTTCCCATAGAATGTTGGTAACTTCCAGTTAGATTACACAGTCTCATAGCACAGAAGGCAACAATATTGTGACATGACGCATGAACGCTGGAAATGTGCAGTCACAAAAGCACCACAGAGACGTCCATTGCTAGTCAGTGGCTGCTAGACATGTCTGCAGCAGCAAACAGGCTTGTGGAAACCAAAGCATTTCTGCAAAATTAACACATCTTTCTATGGAGATGTGGATTCATAGAGACTGACTTGGTATGTGTCAACGAGCAAGCAATAGACATTCTCCATGGTTACCAGAGACTGTATGAGCGACCATGCAGAGAAGAACGCGTTTATTCTTCATTTGTCCTTAGTGATTTGTGAGTCATCACTTGGCATTCGTCACTTGTAAGAGAGTTCAGAATTGAGCATTCGTCTGTGGAGTGTTAACCAGCGGACAGCAGAAGCTGAAGAAGTGACCGATTTGTAAATCAGAACCAAGTCAGTCACAGTAAAAGAGAAGACACTCGTAGTCCAGTAAGGAATGGAGCAAGTCTTAGGGAGTCAGTGATTGTGAGCTGTTATAATTTATTGTAATCAAGAGTGATTGTAAGAGAAGGTGTTAATCAATCCAATCTTCCAATCCAGAACCTGTTGTTAGTCATGGAACCCTGGACATGTGACAATGTTAATGCTTAAAATTGTCATGTATGAGAATGACTTTCACTTGTATTGTGTTTTAGGGTCTTCCAAGGTACGGCGTATGAAGATGAGCTTTGATGCTGGTTGCCTGACCTTGCCAACTGCTCTTGAATACCGAGACCCTCATGTGATAGCCGGTGCCCTCAAATCATACCTGAGGGAACTGCCAGAACCCCTCATGACACATGCCTTGTATGATGAGTGGGTAACAGCAGCAAGGTGGGAAATGGCATGTTAGGTGAAAGTTTTGAGTTTTGGTGAGGGCGTTATGTAGAGTATATCTGTATGTATGACAGAGAAAGTAGAGCCAGGATATTAGTCAGTATAGTGACTGGCTATGGGCTGGATGACTGAGGGGTCAGAGTTTGAGTCCCAGTAGGGTCAAGAATTTTCTCCATGTCATCCAGACTGGCTCTGGGGTCCACCCAACTCCCATCTAATGGGTACCATGGGCTCTTTCCCTGGGTGGTAAAGCGGCTGGAGCGTAAGGCTGACCACTCACCTCCAGCTAGTGCTGAGGTCAAGAAAATGTGGATCTATACATCCACTCCCCCATATGCCTTCATGTCATAGTGCTGAATTAGCTAAGCACAGTAACAACTTTACCTTTATCTTATGACAGAGAAAGTAGGGTTAATGATGAACATTATGTGATGGGAAACTTAATGCTGAGGTCAAGAAAATGTGGATTTATATGTGCACTCCCCCATACGCCTTCATGGTGTAGTGCTTAATTAACTGAGCACAGGGATAACTTTACCTTGATTTGTAAACTCGGTAATGAACCTTAAGATTGTATAAAAGTAGGGACTATCTTGACCAACTCAGCAAATTGTCATTCGCTCAAGGAAGTTGGCTGATAGGTTGATTTGTTCATGTTGGCACATTTATATTTCAGGTGGGACTGTATTGTTATGCTCACATGTCTTTAGACATATTGTAATATAATGTACCTATTAAATCAACAGTGCTATCAAGTATCATTGAGTGATGAGTTCCTGGGTTTGATTTACATTTTTATTTATTTATGTTTATTAGAAAGGAAGTTATTTTGCCAAAATTAGATGAACTATCCTGGTGTCAGTAGACACAGGAAAAATCATGAAAACTGCAGTCACATTAACCTGCCTTGAGGCCAAGATTTGAACCCAGAACCTCCCAGTGCTATCCATTCAGTCATGACATTTGATTTATCCTTTGATGTTATGTAACCTAAGCCTCAGAACAGAATTATTGACACTCTTAACTGCTGAAGCTTCTGTGTTGCTTTTATTTGGCAGTCTATGAAAATCTCTTCAGAAAAATGAAATAACAGTACAAAAATGACACCATTTCATGTTATTTATGAGATGGAATGAACGTTTCAGGTCAGACATGCCATCTCTGTAATTTAAGTATGATTTGTTGCTAGTGTTGTAAACCTTTCCATGGGAGAGTTTGAAGGGGAGGTGTCAGGTCCGTGGCCTGTGAGAAGATACTTCTCTAGTCAGTACATGGTACTTGCTTATAGAACGTAATACTAATAAAATTGTCTGATGTTTTTAGAATTCAGTCATCCAGTGAAGCTCGTCAACAGGCACTGAAACTGGTCGTTGATAAATTACCAGAGGCAAATTTTGACAACTTACGGTACCTGATAAAGTTCCTCTCTGCACTGTCTCGTAACCAGGAAGTGAACAAAATGACACCTCAGAACATTGCCATTGTCATCGCACCAAATTTGATATGGAGCCAAGCTGACGAGAGTACTACAATGGGGTGAGCATGCTACAAACACTTGCAGTCCATCTCTAGACGGGTTCATATAAATTAGTTGCAATAACCATGGACATTTGTTGATATTGTTGCCACCCTCCCAGCGTTGATCACAAGTAATTTTTCTGTTCACATGACACCTCTGTTGTTGAGATAACGGCAGATGTAGTTAGTACAGCACAGAAGAATATTTATTTCATTGTTTTTCTACATTGCCAACATTTAGGGAGGGTATATAATGTTCTCTTTCAAGAAACAGTTACTTTTTGGTTGTTCAATGTAATGCGAAATTAGGGTATTGCAATCTTGCACCTTGAATTTTTATTTAGATGTTTGTATTTATCATTTGAAGGATGGGTTATGTTCATCAGTTTAACGTTTCCCTACATTTTATGTTCAGTTTCATTGCTTCCATGTCATTGAGTGCAGTGTTAAATTTTCTCCATTTAAGATTTCCTCAATTCAGTGTTCAAATATACAGCTGCCTGAGAAATCGTAAACAGGGCTTAACTGTATTCTGGAGGTGATCTATGAAGACTGCAGTTTGGAGTCTGGCTATTCTGATGGGTTCCGTGTGGTTACCTGCAGTTCATCAGGCAGATGCTTTGATGGTGCTTTTTTTTCTTTCTTTTAATTCGCTAGTGGGGGATGGAGTCCAGCTGGGTCCATTCGGCACAGCGGCCACTGATTGGCCTATTGTACCTGCCCTGGGTGATTATGATGATGGAGAATTTGGTGGAATGATGATTGGCAGGAGAAACCGAAGTACTCGAAGAAAACCTGCCCCAGTGCCACTTTGTCCACCACAAATCCCACTTGACCAGACCCGGGATCGAACCTGGCCTGTTGCGGCGGGAAGCCAGCGACTAACCGCTTGTGCTATGGCGCGGCCTTCAGTGGTGCTTTGATGTGGGCCACAGTCACGTTTCATGTTCAGTTCATTATTCATAAACTGTCCTTCTGTTTGACACTATGTTACCGGGGCAGTTAATAATGCATCATTAAGTAAAGGATGAACCAATTACGGGTTTTGTTGGTCCACTGTTCGCACCAAGAGATCCATATTTCTCAGTAGCAGGGCTATAATGGCATCAAAATCCATGTTTTCTAGCTAAAAGAGTACAGTTGTGGTGCATCATTTTATAACATGTTTCTGTTTTTAATTTTTAATGTTATTAGGCCTGCATATGTTTTGTGTTTAATGAAAGAACAGGTAACTTGAAGTTTGATGAGTGTTAACAGTTGCTGCAGTACCACTAATATCCAACTTTCCACAGGGCTTTGGTCTTCCATTCTCAGTATTTTTCATGAAGGTAACCTCTGTGGATTGCAGGGAGTTGGCAAGAATAAAGTGTGATCAGTACACAAGGAAATGCAGTAGGTTAATGTTAACACTAACAGTACTGGTCATGTGCACCCAGTAATAAGCTCAAACTCTGCTTTCAGGATGAACATGAGTTCAGCAAACACGTACAGCTCTATCGTAGACAGTTTGGTGAATAATGCAGAATTGTTTTTCCCTGGTGGTGAGTGTAAATTGTGTTTAGTTGTGATTGAAATGAGGTTGTGTGGAATAAAAAGATTTACTAGAATAATCACTTACAGAAACTCCAGTGAAATGAGAAACCAGTTTCTATTTCTTTTTTTATTTCTCCTCCCCCCCCCCTCTTGCAAGCGCAGGTATGCGCACACATATCTGTCCATCTTCAGTTCTTCTCTCCCGTTTCTGTTTCCTTATTTGTGTGTGTGTGTGCGCAAGTGAGAGGGGGTTCAGCAGAACGACCAGAAGCTCATGATGCATAAATATTTTGAATTAGCGCATGGTGTTTGTTGACATTTATTGTGGAGCTGAAATTGAATTATTAAATTCATAAATGATGAAATTAGTTATTGTCGATTTAACGTTTGACAATTTCCCACCTGGCTCGTGTATGTTCAACTTCATTTACCCAAGCCTGGCTTTATAACATGCAGTTCTGACTGATGATAAGCTAGCAAACTGATTTTTGTAAGCTTCTGGCCATATGCTGAAATTCAGAAATGTGAAATAACTGTTAAGTAAATAATGTATGAATTTTTTTTTTACCCCCAGACATTGAGTTCTTTCAAACTTTTTCTCATGAAACAACATTAATAAACGGAATGACCACAAGTATTGGATCAGTTAGTGGATTTCAACCTCATGAATGGACAAGCAGCTCTCCTTCTGAGAAAATGGCAACCAGTGGCCATACCAGAGGAAGTAGCGGTGATGGTCAACTGATCAATCTTGGAGAACCTGACATGAAAAGAACACAGTCAAACAGTAGTCTTTCAGATCACAGCAGGTGCAGTATCAATTTATTTCTCTACAAGTTACACAGAAGCAGAGAGTACCGCAGTGTAGAATACTGCTCGACTTCAGGCATTACTAAGATATGTAACTATTTATTTGTAACATGGTATTTATATTCTACAACATGCAGTTGAAAATCATTTTATTTCTCTGTTTAGTGTAATGTCACTATTATTTACCATATTTACTTGAATATAAGATGATTTTTCTTTTGCTTAGGAGTCTGAAAAGACAAGGATCATCTTCCGTTTGCATACGTAGAAAATGCGAAGCACTAGTCAATATGGTTATGTTAACAGTAGTATTTCACAGGGATTGTTTTTAGGGTGGGTAATTTGCCTGTTTCATAGCACTTTATATCTCTCGGCTCAATGTCAAGGAAATGTGTTTGCCATTATGTAGGATTTGAGGTTCTCACAGTGGTAGTTATGAAGAGTACTATCTTCTGAAATATAATGTCATGTGGTCCATTAAAAGGCAACCGATGTTCCAGAGGAACATGTTGCCTCCATCCTCGGGTTCGATGAATGAGCCAACCAAGAAACTGGCATGAAAGCAAGTGACAAGCAGACTGAAAATTATGGAAATAGGGGATGGTGTAAAGTGCATCTTGTGTACAGTTTTCCTTTATTTCCAAAAGCAGATTGTTTTGTTTCCTTACTTGTTTTGTCATTATTTAGTTTCAGTGTTTTTGCTTTGATGTTGAGTTGGAAGTCGCAGAGTATCAGACTAGTTTTCCGTCATTGTAGACAGACACTCCCCGTACATTCTGATTTCTAAAATTTCCACTTTCAGTCCTCCACATGGGAGCCCTAAACCAGCTGCCCGCAGAAAGAACAAGCCAGCTCCTGTCCCCCCTGCTACTGGTGCATCACCGAAGGAGCCACCACCTCCGCCATCAGGCTCTACTCCTGAAAAACCTGAGAAACCTCCTCGGCCAGCTGTAGGTCCAGTGTCATCAACATTGCCTCGACCCAGCAAGAAAAACTCCGGAGAATATGACGTGAGAACAGCAGTTTCAGGCCCTGTTGAAAATGTATCACCCATGGCAACAGAAAGGAATCAGAAATCCAGTGATAGCAGTATTTCTTCTGGAATGAGGAAACAAAGCACAGATGGTTTAGAACATCAACAGAATTGCATGGTATCATCTTCCATGCATAGAAGACTCAGCAGTGGGGGAGGAGAAAAAGTGTGTACAGAAAAATCTGTGGAAGGAAATGAATCTGTATCCCCAATAGCAGAGTCACAAATGGCTCCTTCCGCCACTGCTGTTGGAACCACTACTATAGCCATCACATCTGGATGTACTGGAAAGGTGTCTGGTGTGACAGAAAGCCTCCAGCAAAAGAATATAGCACATCCTTCTATAGGTAGCTCTAGCGCATTAGAAAAGAAACACCCACAAAGGCCAATTCCTGTTGCTGCCCCTAGAAGCACAGTGAATATTAATGCTAGCAATGCGACTGTCTCTAACAGGGAAGTTCAGAATCAGTCTTCCGAGAATAAAACTTCAGAAAATGTATGTTCAGCATCTTCTAGAGTAAGCAGTGAGTCAACAAAGGATGTAGACGCTTTGGGAGGGCATGACTCCGTAGTACTGAGAAGGCCTTTACACTCGGAGAGTGGAGACCGTTCAAATAAACCAGCTGTGCCTGAACGACCAGCTATTCTTCTTCGACCTCATAATTCATTCCGTGGTTCCAGACACTCTGCTGATTCAGATACTTCTAGCGATAAACATAATACAGATGTGAGTATAAAGATATATTTTTACTTTGGTGTTTTATGGATGTTGGTTGATGTAGTTAGCACTATGCTTCTGCTATGTTTAACAGTTTAAGGTGGCTCATGAGTACACTCACTGATCACATGGTAGTAACAAGTTAGTGAGACTAAAATATCAGCTGAATCATGCTATATACAGTCCTGATGTTACACTCAGGGACTGAAAATTATGCATCAGGTCTTGGATCTTAATGATGTGTAACTGTTACTTGTTAGGATGGAAGGGAATGGTTTTAGCCTGTAATACAAGAAGGGTTACTTAATTACTACAGAGCTAAGATAGCGCAGTCAGAGTTTGAGTCCCTGTAGGGCCAAGGATTTTCTCTACTCCGCGTTGTCCAGACTGGCTCTGGGACCCACCCAGCTTTCTTTGCAATGAGTACTGGCCACTCTCTAACTAGTGCCAAGGTCAAGAAAGCATGGGTCTGTACATCCACTCCCCTATTTGTCTTCATGGCGTAGTGCTTAATTAGTGAAGCACAGGGACATCTTTACTTTATTTTAATACTTAATTACTATAGAAATGTTGTTGTCATTTGTTCTGTAGAGGGGCATGTGGTAGCATAGTTGGTTGAGGCACTACGCTACAAGCTGGAAGGTCGTAGGTTCGAGTCCCGATGAGGTGAATTATTTTTTCAATTGACCTGATCCTTCCAGCTGCACTATGGCCCTGGGGTTGACTCAGCCTTTGACGGAAATGAGTACCAGGAATCTTCCTGGGGGGGTAAATGGCGGCCAGTGCGTAAGGCTGACAACCTTACTGCCATCTGTGAGCCGATTGTCTGGACAAAATGTGGGAGCCTTGATGTCTCACAACCCTATGGGCCTCCTGCTACAGGGATAGCTTTACCTTACCTTTTTTTGTTCTGTAAACATTGAGAAACTAGTATCAGAAGTTAACTTTTAGGGACAGTGTAGTGAAATTGAAGTGGGTTTTTATATCATTCAATGCTGAGTTGTTTATATGCAAACTTGGATTACAGTAAATTTCAATTTTTACCTGAAATTCATATCTGGGTCACCTTAATGTATTCTAACCCAACTTTTGTAGTGTTGTAACACTTACCATGGGTTTAGGGACAGTAGTGTAAGCGGTGTTGAACTAAACAGCTTGCGCTTTTTGAAGGTTATGTGTATGCTGCATATCCTTCTGTGCAAAGTAGGTACATTCCATTCTGAGAGATTCCTTTACCAGCACCTTTTTGGGCTGCCTGTTCATATGATTTTTTAATACGTAGACGTGCATTTTATTTAGGTTTCTTGTATCTTGATATTTCAGGCAAGCTTTCAGAAGAAACCTCAGTTTCCTAAGAGAACACACATCCAGTTCCCAGAGACTTATCACGCTCATTTTAAGCAGTGCAGATAATATTCGCTAGAAATTTTGAAAGCTTATTGTTTGGTGCTCTGGAGTTATTGATATTAATAGCCAGCTTTAAAATTATTAATAAAGACTTCTGTTTATAAATAAGTAATTTTCAACCCTGGAACAATGGAATAAGAATTATTACATACAGTATATTTGTGTTGTTTAGAATAGGCTAGGTTTTCGTGTTCTTAGATTTCTCCATTTGAAAAACATTTCATTTTTAAATGGAATACACTCCTAAAGATAATCTCTGCAAATTAACTTTACAGTTTAGGCTTTGAGGTTATCGTGTTATGATAGGTCTTTGTATGAGGTAAGCATTTTATGTGCTTTACACCCAAATCGGACTCTCCTTTTGGTTTCTTCAGATGTAACCATTTACAAGTGTGAGAAAAGTTTGAAGTTCAAAACCATGAAGTTTGAATTCTGTAACTTGGATTTTCACACATACCTCAAAAATAATTTAAGCCAGTGAGATTCATAGGCCCACTTTAGTGTCGAGCAGCATTAGTGTAGTGAAGACTGTTACTTTACCATCAGTGAGAAATTTAATGCATTAATTTTATGACTATATATACCAGGTATGCCACACTTTGGATGTGTGAAGAGTACAGTGGGTGCTGTAATAAGAGTACCAAAATTGCGGAATGATATTCATAATATCTGATAGGAATTAGCCATGTAAGAGTGACCTGACTTCATGCTCATCACGAAGTGCAGGGCTAACCACTGAAAGGGTTCGTTATAGCTTAGGTGCTTATAAAAATATATTTTTTCCTGTGTAACTATACCAGTATAAGTATGTGCTCTGCATGGATCAGGCCTTTGTAACACAAACACACAAAAATTATACCGGTCAGTTTCAAAATTATTTATTTAAATTAAATTTTGCAATGTCAAATGTGTCTGAAAACAGTTACTAATGGTTTGATGGATTATATTGTTGTTATGTATGATCTGGAGTCATACTAATTGCGTACTTTTCAAAGTTATCTGTTGGATGTCACATAAAATCGGTTGAAAAATTAACGCAGAATATTTAGTAATGACTTTTTCTCAAATTTTATCTTGACTGTCGTGTCTTTATAGGGGAGGACAGCATTATCACATGTTCTGGGGAATTGAAGGATGTATAAGACCAACTGATGAGACCCTTGTGGCCATGTATCAGCAGTTGAATGTATTTTAATAGCTTTGAGAACTTCTATCAAACTGGATTTACTTCTTAGGTTTTTTTTTAGTGTTTTCTGCTGTTAGTGGTATGATGTTTTAACAACACGCCACTGTGTCCCTTCTCTTACTCAGTGATTCACAGTTTAAGCGGCCCCTTAATATCGGTTTTATCAGCATCTTAGAAAAAAATTGGGACATGACACTGTAGAAAGAGGAAAAGCATAATTAGAGATGTTTGTATGCTCGGTTGCAGTCCGAGCGCCCCCTGCTGGAACGCACCCACATGTACTGTGTAGACAAACAGCAGGTGGCAATTATTCAAGTTGGGGGAGAGAAGGAGAAGATGGTTGCAGTTCCTATCAACAACAATAACAATAATGAGCCTGTGTTACAGAGGAGCCCTTCCATGGGGGGTCGACCCCACTCCGTGTCCCTCTCAGGTAACGTACCCCCTTCACTCGACTGCATGTGTGTTCTCATTGCATGCACTCTGTACCACAACTAACGATTGTGCTGGTGAATGTGTACATCTGCTTGGAGCACAACACAACATGCTTTTGTCATCCTGCCTGTGTCAAGAAGTGACAGAAGAAATATATGGTAAAAGGTTATTATTGACTCTGGATTTCATGTGTCGTGTTTATATCTGACTGCAAGGCAACGTCAGATATAAAGGAAGCACCCGCCTTCACCCAAGAAGAATTTAAGAAAAAATAATTTCATTACTGGACCAGATATAATTGTTTGGTACACTTCTGTGGCACAAACATGACTTCCCCCACCAAACTCTTCATAATGACCCATTTTATGTTCACAGAATGTTTTTCTGTTGCACCATGCACTTAGTAACTGTTCTTTGTTATTACTTCACCATTTTACATTGGCTATACACAAGTTTCAGTCTTTTAAGGATACATATTAAGCCTTAGCCTTTTGAGTCCAGTGGTTAATATATGTACCACCTGCTTTAGTGCACTAAAATTCTGCATTCTGCCCACAGAGTGTATCTGTGTGTTCCATATGGTTCTTACAATAAACAGAGACTGTTTCTCTAGACAGCATTAACTGGTTTGTTTCTTAGAGCACAGGTGAATGTGTTTCCTATGAGGTAGGGACTGAATTTATATATATTTGAAAACTTTCGGTATCAGAAGGATTAATTTAAAATAGGCAAGAATGCAATGTGTGGGAGCAAAGTAACTGCATTATCCGATAATGCATAGAGGATTCTTTGTCCATGTATTAGTGTGACCTGGTGCTGTGGAGCTAGTAGGTGTTGGAGAGAAGGTATACATACTTATCTCTCCAGCAGACAGCTCTGGTAACTCCTCTCACCCTGCCACCTCTATTGAGTTTCAAGTTCTCGACGTGGACTCCGTTATTATGTCCGTCTCATTATTGCAGAGAGTCCTATAGCTATTTATTTTCTGTTACACAAGTCTTGACAAGATTTGTGATGGAAAATGAACTACTTTTGTCCGACACTCGTACGTGTTGCAGAAGTGGAATGTGGAGAAGATTTACTTTGAAATAAGCTACTGTCTCTTCAGAATTCTTACATAGTTCTCATTTGTGGTCATCTTTTTCATTTATATTTTATAGCCTCTGTAGTTGAAACAGCGTCATTAAATAATATAAGAAGCAGTCATCTTAACTGTGCAGTTTGATATTATTTGAACAAGTATATTATTGACTCAGCATTAGAATTGACTTTCTTTGTTCATTAACCGTGTTGTGAATGTTACAGCATTTTGTATTGATTCACAGACAAGGGACAGTGCCTTGAAAAGCCAGAGAGACCACCGAAACCCGAAAATGCAAATTCCTGTGTTGAAAGAGGGCAACGCCAGTCTAGTCATTCCCGGACCATGTCAGAAGGGAACATTTTCAACTTCGACAAAGATAAATCGGGTAACTGTTTCTACATATATATATTAACATTGTTTTGTAAACTATCGAAATAATTCTCTTTGACTTGTGGAAAGGAAGACAGTAGAGTATTGACAAGGACTCTAAAACCTGAAAGTTCAAGATTACAGAAGTTATGGGTGATATTTATTTGTAGAGCATGAAACTCTGAGCCAGAAGTGATGGAAAGATGGGAAGCTCTGAGCCAGAAGTGATGGAAAGATGGGAAGCTCTGAGCCAGAAGTGATGGAAAGATGGGAAGCTCTGAGCCAGAAGTGATGGAAAGATGAGAAAGTGGAGTTACAGTGGAGGCAAAATGAGATGAACCAAGCAGATTATGTCTGTCACATTACTGCACAGTCCTGTAGCTATTTATTTTTTGTTACACAGGTCTTGAAAGATTTGTGTTGGAAAATGAACTACTTGTGTCAGACACTCTTGTAAATGTTACAGAACTGGAATGCGGAGACTTGACATGCCAGTAACAGCCTAGACTCGAAGCAGAGATGTGCTCAGTTTGAATTAAGAAGAAATTTATATGTTTATAACAGAGGGCAGAATTACAGGAGACAGGAGAAACAGTTGATTCTGTTAGATGGAGGTGGCATTTTGTGTAACATTTTGATTTACCCATTAGGGGGTGATTGCAAAAGATCAGTGTCCAGTATAAATCTGTTGGAGAATAATGTTTAATAAAAACTTCCCTGATGTTGATTACCTTGTGTTGTGATAATGCGATAATTCGGAGGCATTGATAGATTTTTCGTAATTTTCATTCATCTCTCCAAAAAAATGCCATGATAGTATTTTCAGATAGGTTATAACTCCCTCCTCTTCTGTAATCCTTAATCCTTTCATGAAGTTGTTTGCATCTTATTTAGTGCCATATAGCCTCAGCAATTTAAATAGCATTGTTAAATAACTAAAGAATTGTTCATATTATTACACAGAAAACTGGGTGTCCTAAAAGTCACTTTAGTGGGACAGTGAAGTGTTTTACTGGATTATTTTGACTTTTGTTCAGATTTTTATTTGTAACAGGTGTTTACACTGTTGTGGCTCTAGCACGTCTGTAAATAAAATAGTTCTTCCTTGGAACGTGAGTATAATCTTGGTAAAGCAACTTCTGTGACATGCTATACTAATTTTAAGAGATCTAGGTCAGAAGATTTATACCAAGTATGCACATAATTTATTTTTATGGTGAGTACATAAAGTTTTCAATTCTTTTACGGCTAGCATTACATGGATATTTTCAGATTGAAATGAATTTATCATGGTGTTGATTGTTTCTTGTTTGAAGGTATGAGGCCACAACCATCTCAGACCTCACCACAGGGCAGTGGCAATTCACCAGGTTCTCCCAGACACCCCAGTCGTCCTCCGCGGCCACAGCCTCCCCCTCCTCCACCACCGGGCAAGTGTAAGCAGGAGCGTTTATGGGAGAGTACAGATCTTTGATAAGAAGAGTTGTGCACATCTCACCAGACGAGTAATATATTTAAGGCAGCATTGTAGCACTAATAAGGGATAAGCATGTAACACATTTAGGACAATATTGCTTGACAAGCTTTGTTTCTACCACTGGGAATGATAAGTGGTATAAATATAATGACTGAAAGTGCCTCTGTCTTTTAAAGTTTCAGGTGCTGTTGTATGAATATTTAATTATCTCTTGAAATCAGATTTAATCTACAGCCTAAGAACTTTTTTCACATTGCAAGTTTTTCAATATATAATGAAGCACTTGTTACAGTGATTTCACATATAGTTGTGGAGACTGAATAGATAAAACAGTTTAGGTATATTAGGATGGATCTGTGAATTGAGCGTGAAAAATTGAAAATTTGGAATACCAGGAATTCCAGTTCTTTACAGAAGTTTTCTCTGGTATTTCATTGTAATCTGTTAAAGCTTGTTCCTCTGTTTTAAGATCTCCAGTGATATAAAATGTTTTGTTTCTTGTTATGGAAAATTGAGATGCATTTATTATGTTCAGGTGCTGTGTGTTGAGAAAACTCTTTATTTTCTTGTTCGTGTTCTGCACTTCTGTCTTTCTCTTGATTACTTTTTCTGTGTTTGGGGTGTTAGCACAGTTGAAAGTTGCAGAACTTCATATATTAGATTCTTCATGCCTGGCTGAATGTAAGAGTTTGAAAACTGCAGAATGGATTTTCATGAAAATTGATATTGGGGAGTTAAAAAAAAAGATTATCATATCACCCAGACTTTGCTTAAAATTGGACAAGATGAAATATGTGGGTTCCTGTGCTTATCTCGAGCATACCTCACCCTTTCACAGATGGACTCGACAAAAACTGTGGGGGAAAGTGAAATATATTTTATACCCAGCACAGTTTTCAAGGTAGTTGAACAGAAGGAATTGAACACACCAGAAATGTTAATCATGCATTTCCTAAATTGTCTATTACTATGTTAAATACTTTATATTGTATACTGCCGTAAAGTCTGCACACAAAACCATGTCATATTTGAACTTTCCAGCATTAGTTTATTAAACATTCAAATCTTCAGCCTGGGAATTCTCGACAGCACAAATAATTATTGTTATATGTGTAAGTGCTGCTTACATACTTTTTATATAACAGCGTAAAACGTGATAGATACTGTATTTTGTATTGTCATTTGATGTTAGTTAAAATGCTTTATTAACCAATAAAGAAGAAACAGAAGATGTTCATTTCAAGTCAGTATGTTTTATATACAGTTATGTCTAGAAGATAAGAATGTTATATGTATAAATGATTTTTATCATGATAGTTCTGTAAATAAAATTTGAGCAATAATAGGGAATTCAGCATTTAACTACCTTAATATTATTGTATGATTGTGACTGAAGGTAAAAAAAGGAATGCATCTACTTGTTGATGTAATTCATAGATGTAAAAATGAAGTGAGAAGGTGAAATATAATGAAGGTGGTGACATTTTAAGATGCTATATGCATCTTCTTTTCAGAGAGAAAAAAGAAGAAGATATTTTTGCAGCTCCTGAAATTCCAATGTACTGACTCAAAAAGAATCCTATGTTATCCATATGTTACTTTGTGTTTTGAAAATTCTGCCTTGTTCCCTAACATCCTCAACCTTCTTTTTACTTATTTGTTTTGACAGAGAGAAATTTTCTGACATAACATTTCAAATTTTGTGATTTGCAGATTTCAGAATGTCTGTTTTTGTGTTTGGAGGAAATGTGTGAGCAAGAAATAAAGGGTTGGTTGGAGAGTATGTATTTCCAAAGCACTTGGATATGATATTGGACCTGTTTATTTTTATTGTTATTTTGTATAGAGAAAATCCCTGTTTAAGATTTCTTTGGTGAACAGTGTTTATGAACGCTTAAACTGAGAGAAATCTTGAATGGAGGTAGTTAGTACTGGCACTCCAAACTTGAGGTCACTGAAATTGAACGTTAAGTGAGGGAAGACCTTAAATAGAGAATGATTAAGCACATTTTCACTGTATATTGTTTCAAACCTGTAATGGTTCTCTCTCATTTTGTTTACTTTGCCTTTAGTCTTTTTTTTCATCCCTGGTTTTCTTTCCATCAAGTGAGCAGATCTCCAATTTCTTCCCTCCTTTTCATTAAGATTCATTAAACTCTTAATTGTGCTTGGTCGTATATAGAGGAACCTCTGCAGAACAGAGCTGACAGCAATGAAATTGCCCCATTACCTCCAATTCCTGCAGTCTAGTGTTTGGTGCTTCATCTGTTACACTGATGCCACAAATTACTGTGTCGTCACTGTACTTAATGTGAGGGAATTGTTGACCACCAGTTAGTGGAAGGCAAGGTTATGTTCGTGTACCCGTATGGATGTATTGCACACCTTTCCAGTGCTTTGGCCACAATTTCCTTATTGCCAGGTCGGTTAAATTACTGCTGGACATGAATTTGATTGGTTAGTTGGTTAATCATTTATGATATTTGAAGTTCAGCATGTAGTTTGGTAGGTAGGTAATATTTCCCTGATTGCCATTTTACCATCTCTCTTGTATGAATGTGAAGTATTGTCTTTTACCATGAAGAAAGAACCTGAATTGCTAGTATCAGAGAAAGTGCTGCAAGAAGTATCTGTACCTTTGAAAAAGGAAGATTTTATGATTAAAGTGAAGTTTGCATGTGCTTAATTAATTAAGCAATATGCCATAGGACATAGGGGAGCGGGGTAGGATCAACATTCCTGAACTTGGCATTAGGTGGAGTGAGTGGTCAGTTTCACACCATGACCCCCCCCAAGGAATTTGCTCCTGGTATCCATTGGATAGCAGGCTGTGTGTCCTCCAGGATCAGTTTTGATGCTGCAGAGAAGAGAAAAATCTTACCCTGGCAGGAATTGAACATGGGCCATCCAAGCCTGTAGTGGAAGATTTTATAAGAAGAAATTTCATGATTAATAGAATCCACCTGACATGGTATTGTAACGGAGGACAGTATCATGAGAAACAGAAGTGTATAAAGATGTTTTGGAAGCTTTGCATTTGAAAGAACAAGGAAATAGGAGAAGAAAATAAAATTGATCACAAAATGAATGTAGGTATGTGAGGGTGTATACTGGGTTGAACTGTTCAGGATTGGGTCTAGTGGTGTATGGTATTACAATATTATAGACACGTATTAAAGATAAGCAGCGGCTTGCACACATGGAGCCTACACAGAATAATACCTGAACAGTGCTGGAAACAAGAAGTAGCCGCTGCAGCACTATAGACATAGGGCGGGTACCCCTGAGAATTTTAAAATTTGAAAACATTTTAAAGAAATTTTTAAATTTGAATTGAAGATTTTAAAAGTGACAATTTCTTTAAAATCAAATTGATGTGTGTAGGTTAACAAAAATTTTGTACATATACACAGCGGGGAGGATTCTGATATATTGAAACCTGTTAGCAATGGAGAAGTGAACAATTGGGAAGACTGGTGTTTTTTAAATTTTAAACTACGTGCAGTGTAGCAGCTACGTGAGAGTATACACCTGCTGATGGCCATTTACGGCCGAAACGTGGTGTAGAAGAAAGGAAGATGAAAGAACTACAATAAATTGTTGCACTTAGGACGGAGTTTGTGTCATATGTTGTGTATGGTATTATTTTTGGGATTGGAACTCCAGATTCTGTTTATTAGTTAGATAAGTAGTTGATAAGAATCACATTTTTTATTACTATGTATATTCTCAAAAAGTTTTCTTCTAGTGCGTGAAGAGTTCTGTCATACGGAATATGCTGTGTGATCTGTAGAGAGTCAACTGACATTTTGAGTAAGATTTCAACTCCATATTCAGGAGAGAAGTAGGCAGCAAGTTTTCTGTAGGTGTAATGCTGTAGATGATGGGTTTGAGTCTCAGCCTGGACATCTGCTGTCATGTTCGAGTGTTTTCATGGCTTTCCACAATCCCTCCAGACAAATGCCAGGATGGTTCCATGATTAAGCCACAATTATTTTCCTTCCAATTCATCTGTTTTACTACTAAACTATATAGCCTTGCTACTGACAGTATTATTAAATAACCCACGCAGAAAAGATTTGTTGCTAAGGAGGTGCCCAGGTGGCCATGGGCAGTGGCTTCTGCATTGTCATGCCACTCAGAATACGCTGATTTGTAAAAACTAGTGATATAGCACAATTTTAGCAAAGCCTGTTCGTCATAATAGAAGTATCAAGTTTAGTAACAGTTTGGTTGCAAGGTGGCTGTATTGGTCATTTTGCAGTCCCCTCATCCCTCCGCTAGCACCCACCGTAGTAAGCAAAATCCGTAATCCTCCAGTTCTGTTTTCTCATTGAGGTGCCATGCCTGTATGATGATAATTCAATTGTAGCAATCAAATGGAAAACATTACCTCAATAATTATGTTTAAAATGCAATTTTTCTGTCATAACAGGGAGCCAGGATAGTGTAGTCAGTATAGCAACAGGCTATGGGCTGGATAACTGAGACGTCGGAGTTTGAGTCCTGGTAGGGTCAAGAATTTTCTCTTCTGCACGTTGTCCAGACCGAGTCTGGGGCCCACCCAGTCTCCTATCCAATGGGGACTGGAGGGTCAATCCCCAGGGCTGGGGTGTGAAACTGACCACACACCTTGAACTAATGCCAGAGTCAAGAAAAATGGCCATAGAGTGACTGTAGACAGGGTTTGGACTGACGACAGGATTTATGGGATTCTTTGATACAGCGCATGACTGCACTTTATAATTTAGTATTATGCACAGACAATAGTGTCCGTCACGTCTTCACTAGTCGTTGCTTGGTAGCGGCTTTGAACAGCGGACATTCCTCTTCTTCTGCATTCCCTGAATGTCCCCAGCCTCAGCTACCAGCTTCTAACAGCAACAGCTCACAACGACTGTACTGCAGTAGCCTTCTAACTCACTCACTCACTGACACAAACCACACAGAAAACATCATTNAGCTACCAGCTTCTAACAGCAACAGCTCACAACGACTGTACTGCAGCAGTCCTCTAACTCAATCACTCACTCACTGACACAAACCACACAGAAAACATCATTCCTTTGTTACTGTGCAATTGTTGCGTTTGTGTATGTTGGGGTGCCCACGTAATAGCTACTCAGCCTTTGCCTAGCAGTGGCTGTTGTATAGTTGCTTATTTCGCGGTCGTTTCCTACCATGCCACAATATAGAGACTGGAGGAAGAAATATGAATTATTAATCACACAGTTCCTTCCCTGGAAGTTTTGTGTCATAGTTTTGACCAATTGCCATACTTTGTTTATGATCTATCTCCCTACCATATATCACATTAGTAACTGTAATGATTAATTCTTTATAGATATAAAACAGAAGTAAATATTTCGCATTCTACAAGAAATGACTTGATAGAAAGAGACGTATAGTGTTTGTCTTTTCCTGTATACAATTTCAGGACTGTGTATGATGTGTAGAGATTGTGCCATCTCCATCAAAGAAGTTCCCATGGCACTCGTGTTGTTGGCGATAGTACCAAAGTGGCACGAGTGGGATAATCTGCCGTGTCATGATTAAAATTAGAATATACAAAACCATAATTTTGCCTGTGGTTCTGTATGGGTGTGAAACTGGGTCTCTGATATTAAGGGTGGAACACAGCCTGAGGGTGTTTGAGAACAGGGTGTTGAGGAGAATATTTGGACCGAAGAGAGATGAAGTGACAGGAGGTTGGAGAGAACTGCATAATGAGGAGCTTCATAACTTGTACTTTTCTCCAAGTATAATTAGAATGATAAAGTCAAGGAGGATGAGGTGGGCATGGCATGTAGCACGAAAGGGGGAGAAGAGGAATAAATATATATATGATATTGGTGGGAAAATCAGAAAGAAAGAGACCACTGGGAAGACCAAGGCGTAGGTGGGTGGACAGTACTAAAATGGATCTTAGAGAGATAGGATGGGATGGTATGGATTGGATTGATCTGCTCAGAATAGGGACAAGTGGAGGGCTCTTGTGAGCAGGGTAATGAACCTTCGGGTTCCATAAAATGCTGGGAAATTCTTGAGCAGCTGCAGAATTGGCGGCTCCTCCAGAACGGCTCAGCTCCATGAGTAAGTAAGTAAGTAAGTAAGTAAGTTTATTTAGATCATACAGTGCCAAGCGGTAGGGTTGTTGGTGAATATTGCGTTGGAAAGGATGAATAGGTAGCTATCGTGACCCGATTTGACGCACTACCTCGGAAATTTTCTAGATGGAATAAGGAAAACGATGGCAAACATCAGGATAGTCGATATTCTGACCGAAATTCGAACCAGGCACCTCAAAATACAAGTAAGAACCATTACCGCTTGAGCCAACCTGTTTGGCCAATGGTATGATATAAATTCCAAGTTTCATGACGCATTTGGTTACCTGATATGACGTCACTACCTACTTTTCCATAGAAAAAAGAAGTGCGAGACAGGAGATTATCACGGTGGTGAGTATGAAGACTACTACACTGTGCATTGGTGCATTGTATTCTGATAGACCGTTACGCCTCTGAGAAACCTGCTGCTTCCATCTACAGGGCAGAAAACCTGAAAATGGAGGCATCACGTTTCTCCATACTGTACAGTACGAGGATGATGGTAAAATGTTACTATTCTTCCGTGGTTATAAATATTTTCATGATAATGTTATTCATACTTACATGTCTTGTTTACTCAAAAAGACACCATCTTCCCTGAATCCATAATTAGTGTACAGAATTTTCGATGACCCTGGTACGTCACTTCACAGAAACGGATGTGCAGAGTGGCATTCATAGGATGCTTACAGCTGAACC